TTCTTATGACTCCCCTGATAAAGAAATGTTACAAGATATTTTTTTAGCCAGCCGTGGCCCAGGAGAAAGATGATAGAGAAAGGGCTCCACATATAGTGGATGCATTGTATAAATGTTTGTGAGTGGGTGGATGGCAGAAAATAAAAACATGGTGTAAATTACAACGTTTAGTGATAATGTGATAATGAGGGAGAAGAAGAAAAGAGAGGTTCCATGTGTCAACGTTCTAAACCTGTGGCAGCACAACTAAGAACAGATCTAAGACAAGCCTGGACTGGCTCTAACTATAAGCTTTATCAAAAAGGAAGGTTTTAAGCCTACTCTTAAACGAAGAGGGGGTGTCTGCCTCTGTCTGGTAGCACAGTGCTCTAGTGGGGTGGTATGGTACTATGAGCTCTTTAAGATATGATGGTGCCATATTATTAAGGGCCTTGTAGGTGAGGAGGAGAATTTTAAATTCTATTCTCGATTTAAATCGAAGCCAGTGTAGTGAAGTTAATACAGGAGAAATGTGATTTCTTTTCCTGGTTCTTGTCAGGACACATGCTGCAGCATTTTGGACAAGCTGCAGGGTCTTTCACGACTTACTGCTTAAAACTGTATAAAAATACTTTTTCATTTTTGAGTCTGCTGCACGTTAGAAGTGTCATCAGACCCCCCCACTAGCTCACATGGATTTCTACAGACTTTATATTAGGAGGCCAGGTGGAAGGTGTTATCTGAACAGCCCTGTTTGTTTTTGCAATATTTTCTCTGGTTTATGTTTGGGTAGCAGGTAACATCTTGTTTTGGGTTTTTTTTCTTTACTTTTGGTTGAAACAGGTTAGATAGTTGTTTTGTTGTTGTTTTTAAGTTGTGCTCTCCCTGATGCCTATTTTACCTGATTTATAAAATAAATAATTTGTTAGGAAAAGAGGGGAGCCAAATTATATGTTATGCTCTTGTTTCCCCTCAGCTGACGTTCTCTGAGCTGCTGCTGAAGAAGAGAGAGAAAAATACAACATTTTCATGCACATAATGACTTAAGACTATACCTCATTGGGCTACAAACAGTTATCTAAATGTTTAAGGTGCCTCGACTGCAGTGACGACTGCTCTACCCCCTTAGCCACAGCCGCCCCATTCACTATGTCCATCTCAGTATGTGTAACACAAATAAGCAGAGTCTCTCCACTAAGTATACAGAGGTTGCTTTATTCCATTATATAACATTTACAACAAGAGAAGACAGTGCTTCAGATTTATACCCTGTATACAGATACTCATACATTGAACCACAAGCTTGTTGAAAACAGAATGATCCTCACAAAATAATTGTTTGTTGATGTCACCATGTTTTTAGACCCGGTCAATTCTAAAATAAAGTTAGCTGCTTAACTGATGTAAAAATAATTTAATTTTCCATCATTTTAATTTTCTTTTCCGCCTCCACACTTCATCTTATTTTCCTTCCTTCCAGTCTGTAAACGTTTCCCTGTAATGTCGTCTGTATGAGCTAAAAGGGGTTGATGCGGAGTCCTGTTCCCAGTGGGGAGAATGGATTGACTTTTGCCCACATAAGTGCATCATTAAGGGAGATTGCTGATTTGCCATCTTCCAACAAAAACACTGGACCCTACACAATAAAAAAGGAGAATTGTGAGAGAAGTTACAGATGAAGATATACTGTATGAACCACATATGTAAAATAGAGAAAACACACCTGTATTCTCTGCCCTGTGAAACAGGACAGTTGAACATCAGAGTGGCTCGGCAGACTGGAACCTGTCACATAATCAGCTCCACACAGGACTAATGCAGCTGAGACAAGGGTGCATGATTTGCTGATTAATGATTACATATAATGTGTATTTACTACCAACAGCTTTGACTGGAGCTTATTGAGGTAAGTTTCTGTCTCTTCTTCTCTTTCATTCATTCTTCATTCCAAGTAGATGCACGGTGGCCAGTCACTAATCAACATACTCATTCACCGACTTTAGCTGCAGCTAAAGCTTGCTGCCTTCAGCTGCTAATGCTGAAGCCAACATCAGAGCAGCATTAACATCCTGGCTAAGTCCTGGATGAAGTCTACATCAAATCCCAAAACTTATTTTATGAAAACAGCATTATTTCATCATAACTGGGTTCTCCTGATGAAGCATTGTATGTTGTTCTTACCAGAGTCTATTGGCTGGATTCTCCTTTCCAGGCAATTAAACTCCGCTCTTTGACACTCTGATGGAGGACTGTTGCAGACAAATGGACAGACAGACATTTGTGAGCACTCATGCTGTGTCCAAGATCACGCAATATCCCTTACTCACTATATAGACTTCTATGATGACAGCCAGTAACTAAGACCAAACTTTGTCACAACCAGTGCAAATACATAGAAAAGACTCAGGCTCAGACACCTGGCTCTTTCTGGTTGTCCGTTGTTCTGTCTGTTTCATTCTTGTGAATGCTTTATCTCAAGAATGCCTTCACATTTGGTAAATAAGTTCATCTCTAATCAGTTCAACCTTGGACTCAACGTTGAACTGATTAAATGTTGGTGGCTGGAGGCCAAAGATCAAGGTCGCGGTGACCTCGCAAAGCAAATCTTTTGCCTTGTGAATGCAATATCTGCTGATCGCTGTGAAGGAATCCTTTGACATTTGGCAGAAACATTCACTTGAATTTGGTAACCAAAGAACAAATGTAAAGGTCACAGTGTCTTCATAAATGTGTATGTTTATGTTTTTCTTGAATGGGATATTTTGAGATCAACTTCAGAAACTGTTTTCACGATTGGTACAAATATTCACTTGGACTCAAAGATGATTGCTGATTAGTTTTCGGTGCATGAAGGTCAAGGTCACAGTGACCTCACACTCGTATGAATGTGATAAATCAGGATTGCTGAAAGGGAATCTTATAACATCTGGCACAATTTAATTGGACTAATGGATGATATGATTCAATTTGGTGGTAAAAAATAAGGGTCACATTTAACCTGTCAAAACAGATGTTTTGCCTTAAGAATGTAATATCTCACCTAAAGGGATTTTTTCAAATTTGGAACACATGCTCACATGGACTCACTGATTAAGTGAGTATGTTTCTGTGGTCAAAGGTCAAGGTCACTTTGGCCTCAAAAACATGTTTTTGGTCTATTAAATGTGATACCTCAAGATTGCCAGGAGGGATCTTTTTTTTTTTTAATCATTTGTAACTTGGACTCAAAGATGAAATAAATAGATTTCAGTGGTCAAAGGTAAAGGTCACAGTGATATTACATGAAACTGGAAATAAATATGTAGAAATATGTAGATGGAAAACTGCACTGATTGGTGGAGGCAAACAACAGCAGTACACTAATTCTATTATTTTTTTGTGAGTGGCAAAGAGGAACATGTAGTTTTTGTTGTGCGATCTTGTGTGCATAATAATGATCAGACCTTCACAATTTTCCTCTACACACTTTGGCCCTTCTATTGTTAAATTCATTCTTTGTTTTATTATTTTGTTGGTGTTTTTCATGGGTTCTTTAATCACAATAATCTGTGTAAGGCTATTTGTGTTGGTGCTTGTGTCTGTGTATGTAAGTAACCTACTTGCTGTTACTTTGTGTGCAGGCTCGCCAGGCATCAAGTTCCAAAGACAACTTTTCAATCTTCAGAGGAACACACACCTCCCTCCGTTTCAACAGCTGACTGAGATAAAGAAAGAAAAGAATGCTAGTTAGACTTTCTATCTTATCTAATATTAAGACTAATTAGGACTAATTATCATTGAACATTTTCTTAAAGATTCATTATATATCTGAAATGGTTAAGTAAAGAGCAGAAATACAAATAAAGATCAAAGATGTATATATGCCTACTGTGTAACAATGCACAGCACTCATTGTCAGCTTTGTGGACAGTATTATAGGTCTGCTATGTTGTCACATCGACTTCTGCTGGCTTTCTACGGACTTATACTATACAAGAGGGCCAGGCAGAGAAAGTCTGCAGAAACTCCAGAGGAAATTCCAGAGAATTTGCATTAACACATACACCTCCTCTGGAGAAACTGCAGATGATATCTGGAGTTCAGTACATGTCTGAAAGCAACTTAAGTAAGTAAGTCTTCTGGCAGGTCAGCTTCCTAGGAAAGTTGATTCTGAGTTTTACTCAGGTACCTGTTAATTAATTGTAAAAACACTGTTTGTCTCAGTGCAGACCTTAGTGTCATGAAGAGGAATACAGGAACTAGATCTGGATGCATCAAGGAAATAACAAGTAAAGAAAGTAAAATATTTTCTTCTACAGGGGGAAAAATAAAATATTTAAACTCAGAGTGTATTCATTGTTTTTCATGGACTGAGATAAGAAATATGTTGTAGGCAACTAACTACTCTTGTATTAGGAGGATTTTAGAAGAATGGGATTAATCTACAAACAACAGGCAGTCAGTCTCCAGACTAATCAGATGCAGTCTAATGTGGAGGTTTGGAACACAGTAAAGTGCGTCTACCTGGTGTATTCGTAGAGTGCAGGTACGATGCTGGAGTATTGTCTTCTGATGGCGAGCAAACCTCCAATATAACCACACAGGATCAACAGCTCACTGCGGACTCTACACACACATACACACACACACACACACACACACACACTGGATGATGGTCATGTCTAACAAAATATGGAGAGTAAACACAGAGTGACAGTTTATTTAAATGTGTAAAGCAACAGTAAAACATGATTTTACTCTGTCAACTTCGCCATGATGAGGCGATCTGTTCTGATGTAACTCATCAGGTCAAGTATTGGCTGAATGCTATCCACCTTCCAATCAGATCCACTCAGCTGTTCTGGTGAGAAAGATTTCAGATTAATTAGTTATTCATGGAGACAGAAATTGTAATATTTTATTAAGTTTAACACTGAGGATACGATGCACAATAATTAGGAATATCAATAAGAAGTTAATATTTCATAAATAAAATATTAAAAATATTAAAAAGTTCTAATTCATTATTTGATTGTAATTGTTATACTGTATTTTTGGTCATATCAGTTAGACATATTTGCGGTCCTCACAAAGACTAATTTGTTTATTGATAAGTTACAACATTAAAATCGTTGAATTTATCTTTAGATATAGTATACAGTATTATAAAATAAAAATGATACATGACCTTGGTTAAGGTTAAAATGTGATTACAATATTGACATTCCTTTCAATTAAACCAATAAATTTCATGTAAGGATGTTGCAGATTTTACATACAAACACACAGTGTGTTGTCAGTACCTTTGATATGATCAATCCCTATCCGAAGTGCATTGTCAGGTTCAGAGCTGAGCAGGTGAAATTTAACCGCTGAAAACAAATCTCCTTCACTCATAGCTTCCTTTGCCAAGGCCTTACACTCCTCAACTGAAGGGAGGCCGCACTTGAATGACAAACAACACATAATCACTCTACTCATCACAGCTGTCAGTATCATCAGCGCCAGAAATTAAGCCTTCATTCAATCTCATCCAAAACATATCTTAATTTAGGGATCCTCTATTCACCTTCCCATGTAATATGTTGATTTCAGCAGCACTCCCTGGGTAAAATGCACAGAGCTTAGCCAGTAAGATGTTATTGTCAGGAATCATTTGCAGTAAGTCAGCGGAGAGCTCCCTACATGGAAACACAGAAAACATAAACATTCTGTTTTGTATATGTTGTAACTTCCAAGCAGCCACCACCATTACAGGGAAAAATCTGACTAACTCCAGCTGATCAAAAGTCACCAAGACTGATGATGCAGAGACGAATTCTGACAGATTTATACAGTTTAAACTGCATAAGAGAAATACACTGGAATTAGTCCTGATTTAACAACTATGTATCTAAAGATAAGTTTTCATGCATGCATATAGACGTACCATTTAGGTGTGGTCATGTACTTCCTGGCCAACAGCTCAAGGCAGTACACAGTGCTCTGATTGGCTCTGTCTCCTAAGACAATGCCCACACATGCAGCCAACTCCAGCTCATTACCCCGGATCAGGCTACACATGGCTAGCTAAAAATATGGCACACACATTCACACACACACACACACACACACACACACACAGCAAAAAGTATGCATAAAAATTGCTAATGGTACAGACAGTACAGTACAATGTACATACTGTGGTGTGCATACCTTGATGTTTTCCACAGCAAGCTGACAACATGCTGCCCGGACACAGTATCCGTTCTGGAAGTACCATTCAGCTAATTCCTTACAGACCTTATGCAGGAGGCTGGACAGAAGGAGAGCAAAAGTCAGGTTGAGATGGAAGCGAATCAGATACAAAAATAACCTGGGATGAATTTTGCTGATTAATTAATTAGTGATTAGAATTACTGGAGCTCCACTCCACTGTGAAATCTGATCTCTGTTAGCCATTTTCAGACATGACCTCCAGATTGGCAACTGGCTTTACCCGCAGTTTGCCTTTCATACAAATACAACACAACAGGGGTTTTTTCTGCACGGACGCGTTCACAACAGGAACACAACCTCTGTGTTATTCAGGGGAGAGGTTGAGCAGCCGGGTGCAGCAGACAGACGCAGGAAGTGATGTATTAACTCCACTCCCCGACGCAGTTATCGAGCCGATAATCACCACATACTCTCTTGACAGCTTTGTTCATTTTTACAGCTTTAGCATGTTGTCATCAACCACCCCACTTGCTTTTGGTGAATCCAGCGGGGGATGCCCTGCTGTGTTCACACATCGACTTGTCCTGGATTTCTACTGACTTTTTAGGAGGCCACACAAAAGTAAATAAAGTCAGCAGAAACTGCAGAGCCTGTCTCTCAGATATTTGCATTCACACATGCTCCACCTCCGGAGAAAATACAGAGGAACTGCGATCAGTGAATGTCTGAAAGAATGTTTAGAATCCTTTGTATCAGACATTAATCCAAACTGACTATTGGACTACATTACATTTTGATAGTAAAGCTGTCAGTTGAATTTTGTTTATTGATGTGATCTTGTTTTTCATATTGAGAAGATACATTTCCAAAATTATATTCTAACAATACTGTTGATTAAACTTGTCACGTTTATATAATAAATCTAAGTGAAAGTTCAATCAGGAACACTCTCCCTATGTCTCATTTGCACTCAGTTCTCTTCTCAAGCCCCCCCTTCGAATCAGCTGATGGTAATCCAATCAGATTTTGCCATGATCTCCATCAGCCAATATGTCTTTGCTGTTGAACTTTAATTCTGTTCTCATCTTTTTGGCTGTCAGCTATCATGTCTTTGATTTTGCAACCCTTCTGAAACCCAGCTGAGTTCACTCATCTCATCTCATGAGATATTCAAAATTCTCCCAGTGTCTCGACCCTTTGAGATGTCATCCTTGATGATGTCATGAGAGGTTGAAATACTGAATATCAGCAGAGTTTGTTGCTTCAGTCCAAAGAGATGTGTAATTATGTATCAGACCTGAGCTGATTTAAAAACTACATTCAGTTTGATTGATGCAAAAACAGTAAATTAATGACAGAAAGTTGGCATTAGAGTGTATGAGTGTGTGTTTGCTTTACCTCTGGTATTGTTGTATGTTATCCATATCATTAGTTGTGTGGTTGACTGGGGAGCTTTGTGGTCCACGAATGTTCCCTTCACATGCACCCTGGAAAAAAAATATTTTTGATCAATATTATCACAACAATCACAATGATTGTTCAGGTATTCCCTCACTTCTTCATCTTTGGCCTCTTTTAAACAGAGGTCCTGCTACATTGCCCTCAAGGAGAAGCTTCATTATGCTTGTTTACACTGAACCAAACAAAGCCAACATATTTCTGTCTGTGTGTTTTCTGAAAGCATGCCAGTGTTCCAGATGTAACATTCGCAACAACATTGGCCTCTGTCCTACATTTTTACGCACAAATGGTGATTCAGATCTACTTACTGTGCTGTCTTGTAGGCAAATTCACAATGCCAGCCACCATTTAATTTTGTAAATTTGAATAAGATTAATGGGGTGGAATAAGAGTGCAATATTCACGTCTTGAACAGGCTGTTTAGAAGGTGTTTCTGACCCTGTTCAGACCTGGTGTTAACATTTTGTCAGGTGATCCAGCTCTAAGTAAACACACACAAGACACATTGACGATGCATTTGAGATCTGATCAATCACAATCAGAGGTGACACATGTAAATGGTCTGTATTAATATACTTAGTCAGTGTCCTGTGAACCACTCAGTGCAACCAAAAGTGTTTTTACGAATCTCAGTGTTTCACAAACATCGATTTCTTTGTGGCCCCTGACAAAACATTAACATTGACTGACTCAAAATTATATATATGTTTTGGTCTTTGTGATCACAAATGATGTATATGTTTATTTGCATCTAGAGAGGGTACTTGAGATCCGATCACAAGTCACTGGAGACATATTCTCAGTTGTGAACTGACCTACTCAGAGCACAACACTTGTGATCTGGTCTGAACAAGTTCTCTGTCCCCATTGCTTATTCATCCAGCCCTCCTTTTAGCCAATGTAGCCATTAGGTCAAGATGTATACCATTCATCCAGTCCTTAAGAAGACTTTCCCTTTACTCTCTGTACCTGTGCTATTAGTAAGGCCTCTTGCAATTGTCCTCTGCCAGTGAAGAAAGTTACAAGTTTTTTTATGTCTCCTGTGGCGATGCAGTATGGGATAGCATCATCATTATCCTCGGCCATCAGCTGGTCAGCTCTCCTGCAACATAAACACATTATGATTCTATACATATTAGATATGACCTGTAAAAAATTTAATCATGTGTTGTCTATTAATGATTATTAAGGATGGGATTCTCTAGGCACCTCACAGTTCAATTACGATTCGGAGTGCTAGATGCACCAAAGAATTTAATTTTTATAAATTATGTCATTTTTCAGCCCTGTGTAACTACTAGAGGTATGCATCTTTACTAACACTTTATTATTTGTGCTTTTAAAGTATTTTTAAATATGCTTCATAATCAGCAGCAGTTTTGTTTGTTCTCTTCCCTTTGTCTCTCTTGCTATAAATCATATCAGCATATCTGAACTGCCCTCACACCACAAGGTCTGTGCTGCTGTTAAACATCACAGAGTGACCAGTCATCTTGGGGAACATGCACACATATTTTTAAAGATGTTGGAATTTTGGCTTCATCAGAATGGTACTTTTTAGAAAATTGGACTATTTTGATTTATCGAGTTGGTCAAAACACAAAATAAAAATAATTTCTCAATTTTCAAATCTCATCTCAAAACCCATCTTTTAAAACTGGCATATTCAGTCTTACTGTTTTCCATTTGGCCAACCTACATGATGTTTTATTCACATTTAATGATCTTTTTCATACATTTTTCTTTGGTTTTTATCTCTGCCTTGTAATGTGGCTTTGAATGCTGTGAAAGCCAGGTACAATAAAATATATTATTATTATTATTATTGTTGTTAAAATAACAATCAACAGAATTAAAAAAAACAACCCCCGAGTCTTGTTGTCTAAAGGTTTCTTACCGTTATGTTTTTTCTCATAATTTCTAGGGTCTCAACCACAGACTATATATAAAGGTCTCAACCTTACCATATAAAGCTCCTTTAGAAAATGTATGTCATGATTTGGTGTTATGCAAATAAAATTGAATTGAATTGAACAAGCCTTACACATGAAGTTTGCAGGGGGGACATAATAAAAGTAACAGCATACTACAAATCAGAACAACAAATGGTGATGATGATGATAATGAGTTTTATTTATTTAATTAATTTAATTATTTACTAAGTAGTATTTATCTTTTCTCAATACATTGTCAGGAAATGTTGTTTTTTTGCTGTTCCTGATATTTTGTCCACCATTGCTCCCCAAGAACTCCCCATAACTGTTGTTAACTGTTTGTGTAAGATTTCTGCTTTGGTTTGCATTGCAGATTTTGCTCTTATTCTGTCCACTCCCTTGTTCATCTGCATTCACAGTGCAGCATTAAACACCAAAACAGACACTGAGAGAGAAAATTGCTGAGCAAACACCTTTCACAATCATGATAGCAGTGCACGCTTTGACAGAAAAGGGGGCATGAGTTATTACATTATTTGTTGTAATTCACGTTTATTGTTGTTTAGTTGAAGAGCAAAATATATGGTTTACCTCTGCATGAGCTTCTTCCAGTACTTCATGGAAACTCCTGGAGCCACAGACAATGCTTTCTCCCACTGACAGAGAGATAATAAGGCTCAGAGTAGTTGGTAAGATTTACAAATAATTCCACAGTTTGTAGTTGTAAACTAACCGTTGTGCACCAGTAAAATAAATGTGGTAAATTACCATTTTTAAAAGGTTTGCAAAAAGTTTGGGTATTTGTAAAATGAGAATGTGAATAATACATGATTTCATTAACTAATGTGTACAAATACAAAGCAGAAAACTGCATGGAACTCTGTGTGACACTGATGCTACAGGTACGTCTGACTCCATTTTTATACATTTATCTGATTGGACAATGTCCACTCACAAAGCAGAGTCCAATTAGCAAACAGATGGCTTCATTACCTCTAACGCTGCTGCACCAGTTGACGCTTCTCCTTTCCACAAGCTTTGTCTCTGTTTGTCACACCTACTGTGGCAATCCATTAGGATCATTATAGTAGATCTGATTGTTTAACTTGTCCCTCAGGATCGTAAATGTAGACAGTTTGCGCTGCTACCCGCCCCAGTTGCTGCCCGCTAGCATCACTTCCAGCAAGCTATACTCCATCTCAATCCACAAACTACCAGGTTTTTGCTACTATCTTGATCTTACACAATATTTGTGGCAAATCTCAGGACATCTGGAGGCTTTTGGATGAGCTGCGGAACAGAGACTCCGTCTTGAGCAGCTTCATTGACAAGCAGTCAAAATACTTGAGGCAAACATCCCTGACACTGTTCTTTGGAAGCCCTCCACCTGTACCTGGCTTTCATCCTGCTCTACTCCAAATCACAAGTCCCCTTGGGCTGAGATCGTAGTCCCCAGGCATAAGAGGGGCTCTGGTGAGACTGTCTCCCCACCCCCACTCAATCTTTCCAACTGCTTCACCACTCTTTCTGATAAATCTTTGACACATCCAGCAGATCTGTCTGCAGCACTTGACCTCCCCCCATTCCTTGAAAAAAGCACCTGCTTGCTTTGAGCTCCCAAGTTGATACCAGTCTAACTGTAACTAAGCGGTCCACCCAAAAACAAAATTCAGCAGCCATCGTAAGGTACTGAAAGAGTCTGTGCTCCGACGCTCCGGTTCTTTTCGTTGCCCAGAATCGGGATATAATTCTTCATCCAAATCAGAGGTTGCTCCCTCCTTACTTACTCACCTACACATTTATCACTTGATCAGTCAGTGGCTTCTTCACACAGCATGGAACATGCACAGGAGATTTCTCCTCGCCCTCTTTTTTTACCACAAACACTTATAGTGGGTGATTCCATAACTAGGAAAATCCACTTTTTCAATGCAGTCACACATAACATCCCCGGAGCCACAGTCCCAGTCACCCTTGAAAAACTACCAGGCTACTGCGCTCACTCCCTCCATCCATAATCCAAATTATAGTCCATGTGGGAACAAATTACACGGCTCATCAGCAGTCTGAGCTCACCAAGAAGGATTTTGAACAGCTTTTCAACTCCTTGAATACCAATGGCAAATCTGTTTTTATCTCCAGTCCTATCCCCACACTGGGCCGCAGAGTTGGGTGCTTTAGCAGAATCCTCAGTCTTAATAGTTGGCTCAAGTCCGCCTGCTCAGCCCACTGCCTCGGCTTTGTTGATAACTTCAATTTGTTCCGGGGCGGTCTTCATTCTTCACGAATGACTCCATCCCAAAGCACTGGGGAGCAGAATGCTAGCGGCTAACATACAGCACGCTGTACACTCTGCTGCCCGAGACTCCCTGTTCCATGTTGACCAAAAAAACAACAAATACACTAAAAGCTCATGCATCTTAAATGCACATAGTGCCTCAAAATTCTCATCTAACTTTTCCACTGGTCTTCTTGACCATAATTCTTATGAGTCATCAGATCCAAATATTCTACTTAATGGCTTCAACAATACCTGTCAAATCACACTGGATATTATAGCCCCCATTAAAACAAGAATAAAATCACCTGTTAACACCTCTCCATGGGTTGATGACAGGCTACCAGAACTTAAAAGGCTCTGCAGAAAAAACAAAGAGAAGTGGAAAAAGACCAAACTCCATGTCCACGTCTTACATATGAAAGACCTCTAAACTTCTTGTAATAACAAAAGTAACTAATCACTAGTAATCACCATAATCCCAGATTCCTTTTTAAAACCATCAATAGATTTATAAACCCTGCTCTTTCTGCCCTTCTGGCCACTCCAAATACCGACTGTGAAAAGTTTTCATCTTTCTTTATGCAAAAAATCCATGACATTAGAACTAACATTGCACCACCCACCTCCATCATCCACAATATTGCAGAGCAGTGGACCATCCCACAGGGCTCTCACCATAGCAGCCAGAAACAAACCATTCAGGTTTTAACATTTTTATTTTAAACTTTTAAACAAAACTGTCCAAAATACACTTAAAGGGTCCAGATCTATAAGCTGGATGACTGGCTTTGCAGCTCAGTCTCAGTCCTCCTGAATGTCCTAGTGTGTCTTTGTTTTGAGTGTTTCTCCCAGCTTGTGTGTTTCTTCCATGAGGCAGCTCTGCCACTACCTTTTAAACCTGAGGATCAATCAACTAACTGCTCTCACCTGCGCTGATTGATCCTCTGTGGTGCAGGTGAAGGTGCTCTCCTACCCCCCTCACCTCCGCAAGAATAAAAAAGGCACAGAGGTAATGACATCTGATCTACTGAGCATATCACATGGCTCTCATAGCACTGCCATACAAGCCAGTAACCAGTCAGATTAACCTTTAGCCTCTCTCAACGTTATTGTGATTAATAGGCTGAAACACTTGATGTCATCAAGGTACAATTGAACAATTATTTTAATTACAACAACCAGTCTTACAGAGCTCAAATGTGATAGTTAAACTGCTCTGTGGCCCAAAGAATTTAACTGAATTGTACACCTTTCATTATAATTTGTTCTTCTTCCATGGATTTTATTATTTTTCTTGTGAAGCACTTTGTAACTTTGTTAGATAAGTTCTATACAAATACATTTTTAATAATAATAATAATTATTATTATTATTATTATTAGTAAGTCCTGATAGGTGGAGTAGATTTTCAAGATGGATGATCTAGCATGACATACGTGAGCTTGCACCCAAACACAACATAATAAATGTTCACCATTATTTTCTACAGTACCTTACTTAGGTGTAATTAAGTTCACCTGCCCATCTACCCTCTGTTTGCACCATATGACCATTCTGCTATGTGATTGGGTTGCAATTGTCCAGTCAGAGTCAGGGTCTAAATTTGAACTTCAGTATCACACTGAGCGTGGGAACTTCAGAACACTTGTAGCAGCCAGTAGACTGGACTGCTCCTTTCCTCTTCCTCACAGCAGATTGCTGTGAGGGAGAGGAAGGGCTGTGGAAAAGGGGGTGTGTTAAGATCCATATGATTGGGACACACCTGTGAGCCAGAGGGGGAACAGGGGGAGAATGTGGGAGAAGAAGAGGAGAGCAGGAGCAGAGAAACAAAACAGTGGCTGGAACAGGGGTGAGTTTTTGGAGAGAAGCAACCGAAGAAACCGAAGAAAGCTGAGGGACCACGTCTTCCTGAATCATCTGAGCAGGTTTGGATAACTTTACCTTTTTTGGTCATGATTAACGTGAACGACAGCTCAGGATTTTAACTGTGGATCATTGCTCCTTTGGAAACTCATTATTTCCTTTTGCCCAGAGACTGCCACTATTTTGCACTCACCACTTTGCCCATTCCACACTATCCCACAGCCCCTTACCCTTTCATAAATCTGGGAAATCACAACTTCTCCCAGTTTGGACTCTCCCTTCCCCCTCATATCCCAGTAACACCACCTGGACATTTACAAATGGACAATATTTAAACGAAAAAAAGCAAAAGAAGGACATTTACTTTGAATTAATTGTTGTATGTTGTTGCTGATATGTTTTTAATGTGAGTCAGGACAAATTCTGAAATTAACTGAAGTGTTTTTATTTTATTAAAGTTATTTATTTTGTCCTGAAATTCTGTTAAAGCATTAATAATTCTTGAAATTTAATATTGGAGTGGACATTATGTGATTTTGATTTAAAACTATTCTTTCAACATTTTGTGGTGTGTGACCTTATTGAGACCGAAAACCCTGAGGTATCTGTGATAAATTTGATATAATTTATAATTAATATTGTCATATCTGGCGCCCATAATTAACATACTTCAGGTCTTCTTAAGTTACGCTACACACTAAGCTTTACACAAAGGTTTCTACTGAAAGTCGGTACAAGTAGTTCACTTATTTTAAGTGTCTTTGTGTGACCTCCCCACTGATATCATCTGGTGATTTTACTCATAGTATATTTTTTCAAATACAAATCTTTTCTATACACGAACAAACTTATTTTCTCTTGAACATTTATTTAACAGGTTTGCAAAGGTTGATTTACAAACTTATTTGTGAACATCACTCTACACTCTTCAAAATTGAGTCCATACTTTTCCTCAATAAATTTGAGTTACATTCTCATATATATTTTTTCTTTCTTTTCATTTCTATATTTTTCTGAAATAGATTAATTGGTGTGACTATAACCAAACATTCTTTTATCCAAAACCTGACTGGTTTGACAGAAGCTATTTGATAATGCTAAGATCTCACAATTTATGACCTACATAACCGACTTTTCTCTTGTCATCTCCATTCACCTCCAGGTTCCACATGATTTTCTCTATGACCTGCTCCATGATGACGGAGCCAAAAAAAAAGAGACACAAACACCATAACACCAGTGTTTTGCTGACTGCTAGAAAAAGTGCTTTGTTTTTGTTTTTTGGGATAGCATTTTCATTTCAGAGAACTTTAATTTACATTTGAGGTGGTATACAAAGATAAAAAACGGACTGTGGTTGAGCCAGCCAATGATTAGAGAAAATATTGAAATGGAAAGGATCGGTACCAGCACAACTAACAAAGTCTTAATTATGTTTGAGTTACATGCTTTCAGTGTAAGAAGATAGAAAAATAACACACAAACACACACACATATTCCATACCTGTCCCAGCTCCACCATTAATTCACAGTATCGTTGAATCTGTCCCAGTCTCAGATGGATGTCTGCTGCTTCTTTCAGCCTCTCTTCTTTACTGGGAGCTCCGATGCCTCCTCCAAACTTACACATCCTCACAATAGTCAGCTCCTGAGCTTCAGACTGAGTGACGGAATAGAAAACAATCAAACAGGAAGAAAAAGTTTTAATTATTCTAATTGTAAACAAAGCTAAACATACTATATGTATTCTTCGATTGACATTGTGAATGGGAGAACCTTGATTCAAATCATATGAACCAGAAGATTTGTAGATTTTGGTGACTCTATACTTTACAGTAGTGATGTACTTGAATATTTTTGAAGTGTTTTCGGCGTTGCACTTTGTAGACAGTCCCTGCCCACTAGTCTGCTATGCATAAAGACCAAAGGTTTTCCTCCTGATTGGATTTGGGCTTGTTTTGATGAAAATAATGCTGTAGCTGATTGTGTACATTAATCTGATTGGAAGGCGGCTTTATTAGTTATTTATCAATAAATTCAGAATCTGTGAATATCTTTCCAACTTGCAGTCAAGTAACTACTGTGATTTTGACACAGACACATAGCAAGCCGAATAGCACGTGGTCTGAGATATCACATGTGCATGCAATACTTTCTGCTGCGCACCAGAAACTATCATCTTTCTTATGCCATGTCCCCTTAGGGGCTCCATACCATACTATTTATTAAATCAATACAAATCTAGTGGCATACATGTAGAGAAAAATATAATTAAGATTGAGATAAAAAGGAAGCAAACTGCAGGAATCAACTGTATTTCTTTAGTTCACCTT